GGGTCATTGAGAGAGAGAGAGAGAGGAGAGAGAGAGAGATGGCTGGATGGATGGTTGTACGGGCCTATAGTTGTACGGGGATGGGGCCTTTACTGAGAGAGAGAAAGAGCGACGATATTTAAATTTGAGCAATTTTAACTCAAGATTAGAAGTTTAGGATCGACGGTGATCCATAAGGGTCTCACACCACTATTTGTGGCAGGGTTCTCTAGAATCATTTCCCATAGTTCAAATACCGGCAAGATATAGCACCAACATGAACCATAATTGTTTGGTCTTTCTTTAATTGGTTAATGAAGTTGACTTTATTTTGGCGCATAGCCCTTGATAGAGCAGAATGACGGACCAAGATTCATGTACCCAAAATAGTTGAGTAAAAGCTCTGATGATGATGACGACGACTTTATTTTGGTGCATTGTTCATTTTAGTCAAAGTGGGTTGCCAATCAGTGTAGGCCTGTAGTCCTTCAAACCGGGGCCAGTTGGTCATTAATGGCTCGTATATAGGGCTTGGTAAACGCATACCCTTGAATAATTTGGGCTTGAGCATGGCTGTATGGTTTTGGGAAAGTCAAGGCTAACCTTAGCATGACCACCAGCTTGTTGGAGGCCTATTGTTGGGTCTATCTGGCCTTTAAAGGCCTTATAAGAGCTTGTATGAGCATTTTATACAGTGGAACATAAACTCAGTGGGAGTGTGGTCCTTTTGTGCACCATACTAAGCAAATATTATTTGCTGATACTCAGACTAGGCTCGATGAGCTAGGCCAGTCGAGGTTTGGAAAAACCCAAGATAGTTGGGCATAGGGATCTACCGAGAAGGGTTTAGTGGGTTATCCCTTGATGACGTCGGAGTATGCCCAGATGAGAGCCCATGGACTGTGTGGCCCTTGTTTGTGATGAATAGCCTTTAGAGACAGGGTTAAAGCGTCACCGTTGATATAACATGGCATGTACATACATAACCGTCTTGAGATTCACCAATGAGGGTGAAACGTGTATATGTGCTAGAGATTACCCCTATGTACCATATAGTCATGATTGCATCATGATCTGAAAGACCATGATTTTTTTCTCTAGGGGAGAACCTGAAATCTATAAACTAGGATTGTGTCATCTAGTCTATTGGCTGACTTTGGTGGTCCAATCATGAGCCCCTGCAATAGACTGTGGGTCATGGGAACTGCTGAGTCAGTTTGAGAAAGCTCGACGGATCGTGATTCGCAGTTGAAGGTGAATTGCTCCCATATATTGATACTTTCCTAGATCTAACGGATCTGATTCCCATCAAAATTAATTAATTTAATGTTATATGATTTGTAGAATATTTATTTGTATTTTTGTGAATTTTATGATATTTTATTTTTGTCATTTGGATTTATAAATTAAGAGAAATTAATTTTTCAATGTTTTAAAGAAAATATAAGATTTAAAAATTCTAAATATGAAATAAAATACTTTTTAAAAATATATGGGACCTCCATAAAATATCGAGCCCAAAATTTAAATACATGTGGATTAGGTGGGCCTACACGGGTGGCACTCCCTACCAATTCACGTATTCTTCTTGTGAATAATGCTTATCTCTTGTTGGCTTATCTTTTGAGTATAGTCACGATAAGGTTGAATATTTGAGATATTTACTAAATCTTTGAATCACGATTTATTGATCCAATAATTAAGGATTGGATATATTAAAATATAAGTTTTTTTTATTTAATGACAATCTTGATTCAATAATTAAGGATTTGATATATTAAAATATAAGCTTTCCTTATTTGATGGGAATAGATTTAAGAAATGGAGGATAATACTCTAGTTCATCTCTTTGAATCTTGATGGTGGATCAAAGAGATAGATTGTTCAAATCTCTCACCCAACAAGTCTCCTTAGATCGACGGTTGAGATTTGACCCTACAAATTGAGGTAAATTCTATGACATAGAAAATCTATAAAAAAAGTCTCCCTATGAGATATGTATTCTCTTCTCTCTCTTTAACAATCATCTCTCTCCTTACCCAAAATTGAGCTCTCTTCCAAAAGGAAGGCGCGCCCCAATTTTTTTTCTCTCTTCTATCTCTCTCCAAGTTGCACCATTTATCTCTCTCCAAGTTGTACCATGTTTTGGTGGCACCCACCACCTCTGTTCTTTGTGGGTGGCAAAGGCGTGTAACCCATTGCTAGTAGATATCTCCATCTCTCTTCATATTCATCTCTCAAATCTCTAAAATCAAGCTAAGAGGCTTGATCAAGATTAAGTCCTTGAGTGGATTTTTGTCATAGTAGGAAATCAACATATCGATCATAAATCCCGAGCACCATCGGAACGAGGAGACTCGGCGTGGGGTGTACTAAGCTTGGTTGAGGTAATCTCCAGCAATTTTACCTTTTTTAAATATTTACTTCTCTTCCCATAAAGCAATAAATTCTAGTTTTGTTTCTTGAATAAAGAATTGTATTTGAAGATGTAGCAACTAAGAACCGATTTTATTTTATTTTATTTTATTTATTTTAATAGTGGTTCGATTATAATTGGACATTATAAGTGATCTTGCCGGTGTAGGGATAAAGAATTTTTTTTTAAAATATCTACACCGTGCTTTATCATAAAGTCCTTTCACCTATGTAGGCACACCAAAGATTTGCTTAGGTTCGATCCAAGCTTATTTCCAAGCAGGGTTTGTTTGGCTGCCCTGGTTTGCCCGCAGGCGGAACTTTACAAATGGTACAGGCAAGGCTAGGGACGAGCCTAGCCGTAGCATATTGGGAACATGTCCCTGCTTGAGCCTAACCCGTTGGCAAACCTCATGTCTGACTTGAGATATACCCAGGGTTTCGTTTTGACAAATTTCAAGTGAACACTCGTGTTAGAAAATAGACTAGAAGAGTCAAGACACCCCCTCTCAATGACACAACCATGGTGTCTCACTATCAAAGCCAAAGTATAGGTTGATAAGTTTTTGGGACATCTAAATCTAAAAATTATTTGGAAATTTTTTTAATTTTATATGAAAAACCTAATTTTTTTGGTCTTTATTATGTTTCCAAAAATACCCCTGCTTCGACCTTTGAAGTGTCGAAATGGTTTTGTGAGCACACATTGAGCACCAATTGGACCCTTCAACTAGATCGCCCGTCACAAGGTCGAACTAACTTTTTGTAAGTGCAGTATTGCCAGTTCGCCCCTTGACCATGAAATCTTATAGAAGCCGGTTCTACATGTGTGCATACGACACTTACTTAAGCCAATTCAGCTATCGAAAGATTGAATTGGCATCTATAAGCACCAATTCAACTCTTGGAGGGTCGAACTAACTTGTATTGTGTATACCAAACTTATGTAAGCCGGTTCAACTTTTGAAGGGTCAAAACTAGTGCTCACGGGGTTGAGCTAACTTTTGGTTCGTGTACAATACTTAACACAAATCAAGTTTGATTCCTCAAGGGTCAAATGGGGTTGTGTGAGCACTTTTGGTGTGTGTACTATTCTTGCAGGGTTGAAATGGGAGGATTTTCAAAAATAGAAAAAAAAACACTTTGATACTATTTATCTTTCTTACAAATAAGTCACGTGTCTGTCAAATTGGATGGCTCGACATGTGTTACAATTTAATTATTGTTATTATTATTTTTAAAGTTCCAATCTAGTTAAAGAAAAAACAGACCTCCACATAAAATTGTAAAATTTCCAGACTATTGTTTAATTTCAAAAAGAGGGATCCATACATTAATTTTCCCTTATATTTTAGGACACAAAAGACATGCCATCTTGATGTCTATAGTTTGGATTGCATGCAATTAAGACAAACATTGAACAGAGCCATATGTTACATTCAATTCAAGTTTGGGACCTGGTCTCTCCCTTTCTAAACTTTGGCACAAGGTATAATATTGTCATCCCTCTGTCTCCTCTCTCTCTCATGGAGCCTCTTTCTCACTCCATCCACCAAGGCCTCGTTCCCGATTTACAGCCACCATCCGACGGTTTTCACCTTTTGGAAACTGGGCATCCTGATACCAGGTCGGTAAAATCTCCCTTTTCTTTATTCTCTGTCCTTTCTTTAATTCATTCATATGGGGTTGACTTCCTGTGATCCTTGGCACCTGTTGTAATGGAACCCTCACTAGTTTTGTTCATATTGTGACTGGGTTTTTCTTTTCATCTCCTTTGTGTTGTTTTTGTGGGCTATTGGGTACTGTTGGCTTCTTCCATGGTGGAATTTGGCTTGAAAATTTCTGAATAAATCTCGTATAGAATGGAACAAAATTAGATTTTGAGAACGAAATGTATTGTTTGCTCTGATATTTCAGTGTATATTCTCTCTGTGGGCATAGCGTAAGGTCGATGCCTTTGATGCTGCTTCTATTGGCGCTTATCTCATTTTTGTTGCTCAATTGTCTGAATATGGCCCAAAAGAGTAACACATGGTTTTGTTAGTTTAAAGCATTCTCCGAAATCATATCGGGCCCCTTTATGCTAAATTTGAACATGTATCTTTAGTTTCTCGGAAGTCTAAATGTATTGCTTCTTACAGTAACAACGTTACTGAAAAATTGGTGAAACCCATCTCAATAATGACATAGTCTTTATAAATTGTCTATAACATGGATTTCCAATATAACATTCCTTGTCTCTGAAACCTGAATTTGGTGAATGTTAATTAAAGTTTATGGAATAGATGGTAATTTATGTTATGTTGGTAACAAGTTAATCAATGACATTCTATGTTAACATTCACAAAAGTTTTATTTGTTGAGAATCCAGACCAATCATCCGTGACTTGTCTGAGTCGAATCGGACTCAGGGGAGTTACTCGGACTTGCCCTATGCAGCTGAGGCCGACGGTGTACACCCTACATTATGTTCAGTTTAATTCAAATAACATCTAAATGTTTTTTTGTCTAGTGTTTAAGACTTTATGGGCCTCATGTTTGAGATTCGAACCCCCTCAAACAACTCCGTATCACCCTATTTCTTTAGATACATGTCTTGTTTTTCTTCTTTCGGCCTCATGTTTTTTTCTTTTCTTTTTTTGTTGTTTTAGAAGTGGTTCAAAGAAATTGTCCATGGGGTGGTTCAATCACAAAAACTCTTGCTCAACATCTAACCAAAGCACCATTTGAATGTTTTTGTAAACAAAAGGTATGTTTTGTACATATAAAGTAGTTCTTTTTTGAAAAGGGGTTCAAAAATTTATCTCGAGTGGTTTGATCCCCAAAACATCCTGTAAAGAGCCCACAACATCTAACTGACGCACCATTTGAAAGTTGATGTAAACAAAACGTATGTTATATATCTAGTTTTTTGCTTTTTTATTTTATTTTATTTATAACAAGGGCTGGACATTACTTCAACTTGCTCGTGTAACTTATACCTCAGCCAAGGGTGAGTACAGTGGCCGAGTTGAGTCCCGGTACATTGATCTAGACCATTGTGATTTGGTTCATTGAAGATGGTCCCAAACCAGCCTGATCCTTCAATAAATTGTGAAGTGAAACAAAATTACTGAACTAAACAAGGCTCAATATTTGTTTCTTTAATATCAATTGACATGGATACTGAAACTAGACAGTTTTATTTACATATCAATCCAGCAATCAATGTGTTTCATACACACCAATGGATGATGTTCTTCACAACAATGAAGAATACAAGATGGTTTTCTTTTTTCATTTTTTCATATGCATAATAAAAAAAAATGCACAAACAACAAATAAGGTGGACCTAATATGTTTATCACCACTTATATACTATTTTGCAATTCATTTAAAAGTGGGTACGAGTGGTTATTGAATGTATCCTATGTGCATATAAAGATGCCCCCCTCCACACACAACTTTAGTGATTCATATGTGTTAAGAAGGAAATACTTATCTAACCGATTGTAGGAGCTGCATTTCACTTGAGCACATATGGATCAGTAAATGATCAGTTAGCATTGGACATTAGAAGTATTGCCACTGAGATGAATTAATAGGTATTCTCTGACAAGCTGTCATTGTTAAGTCTTTGATAAATTAGATGCAGAGAAGAACTAGGACAGCAGTTTTGTACCATGCGCATAGTACAAGTTATAAAGATTCTTCTAAAAGTGAACTCATGAATATCTACCAGAAGGAAGCGAGAGGCTACATGCTCTTCTCCATTGACTGTTGTTTAGACTGTTGACATTCGATTTGTTAGTTAAGGTTAACTGATGTGCTTCCAATAATCATATATGGAAAATAGTCTCACATTAATAGAACAATCATTATCTACAACTATTGACAACCTTTTGGCTGCCTATACGTGTAATCTTGGTACTTTAACATTTCACTTGTTCCTGTTCTAGTTTGGCCTATTTTTTTGATGTGTATGAATATGATTTTGCAAATTGAAGTTAAACAATTCATGTTTCTGTAAATATTGGTTGTCTTTTGAGTAAGTAACCTTCTAAGTCTATTAACCGTTATATTCTGCCTGGTTGGTTTTTGTGTGCACGTAGTTGACTTTGGTCCTCATGTTTGCTTCATATATACAATGTATACTAGATATGGCAGGAGGGTAGAAGCCAACGACCCAACTACTGCAAGAAAAGTTCAGAAAGCTGACAGAGAGAAGCTCAGGAGAGATCGCTTAAATGAGCAGTTTCTTGAATTGGGAAGTGCATTGGGTGCGATATTGTACTCCTTTTATTTGTTTGAACATTTACTAGAATTTTCCAAAATTGACTGGATGGAATGCACCTTTACTATATGAGTGTATTGAAATTGAATTCTAGGTGTCCCAAAATCCGTATTATTTTTAATATCAAAGTTCCTATTGATACTTATTGCTTTTAAGGTAAAAGGAAGTAAAAATTATTGATATTATTGTATTAAGTTAATGAATTAGTTGTTTTTGGGAAAAAGAAGGACTTGTTGATACTACAAAAATTAGTATGTTGGGCACTGTAATCTGTTTATTGTCTACCTTATCTATGGCCCTTGACAGCTGGGTGCTTGGGTAATACTTGAAATGATAATGTATGAAAATCGTCATAATCAGCCAGGAATTGACCGGAGTTGAGATTGAATATTACAGATTTCGGACTTTAATATTTCAAAATTTGCAGACCCTGACCGCCCAAAGAATGATAAAGCAACCATCCTCACAGATGCAGTGCAGATGCTGAAAGACTTAACTGCCGAGGTTAACAGACTAAAAGCTGAAAATGTATCTCTTTCAGAAGAATCGGACGATGTATCCGTTCTCCTCTATCTCTGATTCCTTTATCTTTGATTGGTTTTGAAAGTTTGAATGAATTGAACATTGTTTCCCTGAATGCAGCTGATGCTAGAGAAGAACGAACTCAAAGATGAGAAGGCAACTTTAAGGTCTGACGTAGAAAGCCTTAGGATTCAGTATCAGCAAAGGATAGCAGTTATGTTTCCTTGGGCACCCATGGATCCAACAGTTGCAATGGGTCCCACCCCATACCCTTTCCCAATGCCCACTCTAGCTACCCCTGATTCTCAGCGAACCCCAACACAAGGGCATGCACAAGCTTCTATGACTCCTTTTATGCCTGTTCCTTTCCATCCTTCTATTCAACCATTCCCTTTTTTTAGGAGTGTAGACCCCAGTGGTAATAACCAGTATTTGTCCCTTACACCCTATGCTTCAACTGTTAATGTGCACTCTCATGTAGAAAGACCCTCAGCACAGTATCCCTCTCCTGTTCCTCCATTGCCAGGCTTTGTTTTACAGTTACAGCCTACAATCTCTGTGCCAGACCCTAGGTCTCTCACACCGAGCATGCCAGTAGCCAATCACGAAACTTTGGGATTTCAACAAGGTAGCATTGCCACTGAGTTGTCCCCCTGTGAATCTGCCAAGAAGTGTGAAGATTTGCATTCTTCTATGGGTGCAGATTTGGAGCTTAGAACTCCAACCTCTTCGTCAAGAGATTCTACTTGCCAATCAAAATGCTCGAGGAGTGATTCTCAAGAAACAGGAGAGAACCAGGTGCGTCTTTATGCAACTGTATGCACCTTATTTAATCTCTGTTCACAAGCCCTAATTTTTAGGGACAGTCGCTTGGGGTTCTATTAACACTAAAGGAAAATATCAACTTCTGAGGTTTATTTATGGCTTCTAGGTTCTTTGTAACATAAATGTTTTAATCCAGTCATATTTTACTTTTCCAAGGCCTTGTAGCATTTCATACGTGGCATTTCTGAACATTCTTGATAAAACGACCAGTTTGTTATCATGCTAAGTACATACCTAAATGGGCATTCATGTGGTTTCAATTTTCTCTTTATAATCGGAAAAGTCTATTGATGCTTACACTTTAATGGTGATTTTTTACAGGAGTGTTCGATTAAAACAAAGAAAACAAAGCAATCTTCTGATTCCAGTGCCGCTGCCGGAAGCGCTTGTCCAGGAAAGTGTTTGGATGATGCACTTTCTGTGAACCTTGGCAACAGTTCTTCTTCCGAAAGTTGTGATGGCTCCCCAAGCAACAAAGAATGTGCTGTGCAGACCTGATTTGTTGTGCGAATGTAGAACCCGTTTCCTTCTTTTTTTTGGTATAATTTGTTTCATAAATCTTTCTCTTTTGCACCAGTTATATTAACATGAAGAAATGGAAGGGGTTCATGATGATGGTCCAGATTGATGGCTAATCCTCGCAACCGTAGAAATCCTGTTGATCCATTTAGAGTTCAATTAGCCTTTATTAGTGTATGGGTGCTGCCTAGATCAAAATCCAGGTATTGTTGTCTAGTAAAATGATGATGGGGTATAGTTTCAAAAAAAAATGATGATGGGGTGAATTATTGAGATGAGAATTTTTCAGCGATGAGGAGAGCCAAAAATGACGTACATAAAGATAAACCGGCGGGCTCCATGATTACATCACTTATGACCTCGATATGGGATGTCTTCACTGTGCGGTTTGATGATATCTCAATGGAATCCTCAAGTACTGTTTCATCTCAAATCATCAACATGAGTGTTTTCTTCTCCTTCTCCTCGTGATAGAAGTGACCTTTGAAACGAGGCTTCTAGCCCATTCTCAACATGCCCCTGAGCTACGAGTGAGGTAACCGAATGAGTAAGGCGAAGACCATTCCACTTGCGTTTGGGTTTGGGAATAGCTCCTCTCCTACCTGCACCTTGGGGTTTCAGTCGACATTCAGAGTCTAAGACCAGCTACATCAGTCAACATTGTCAGTCTTATGACCTACAGATGCACATGCATAGAATACCTGTCGTATGCACAGGAGCAGGTCCACATACATGAGAGAAGGAACACGGGTGGGCAGGGGAGGGCCCCTAACCTTCTCCCAGTATCCAGTTGGTTAGGGGAAAGTATAACACTGGATAACAACATGTTTTGAGATGGTAGAACTTGCCGAAGTCAGCTTGATTCGCCAGGTGGGTGAATTTTATGAAGGAAAATGATTTTTTTGAAGGAAAATGATTTGATAGGGCTGCAGCCTATCAAAGTAAGTAAAGCCTCACCTCATAATTTATCCAAAATTACAATTCAAGCATTGGAAAACCTTCACATCGATCATCTCGACTTTAACATTATGATTGTGAAAGAAAATTAGGATTTCAAGTTCTAAAAATAGTGTATATTGTAACAAATTATATAGGCTGTCCATTTCTCTCTAAAAATAATTGTTCACTACCGTTTTTTAGTTTCAAATTTTATTGCTGCTGCTGGAAATTGTTTTTAGAGCCATCATGATTTTTTTTTTTTTGCCGAAAATTCTTTTCGGATGAGAATTTGATGTGAGTTTTTTTTTTTTTGTTAACATAAAGCCTAAGCCTTATTTAAGCTCATTCATAGGGACTTGGCAAAGCTCCTTTTGGGGAAGTATATGGACACGGTTTCTACGAGTCCATGTAGAAATAAGTCCCCCTCTTAAAAAATTATTTGGCGATGGATTTTTAGATCCAACTTTTAAGGACATATAATCTCTAATATGGAAATCATGAATATGAAAAAGAGCAATGATTTAATGTGGAAATCCAACTTTTAAGGACATATAATCTCTAATATGGAAATCATGAATATGAAAAAGAGCAATGATTTAATGTGGAAATCATGAATATGCAAAAGAGCAATGATTTAATGCAACGGTTGTATCATAGTACAAAGCAATGATACTTCTAGAAAACCATGTTTATGGTACTTGTATGATTTCAAATTTTGTACACACTTTTCATCTCAATAACCAATCCCCTTAAAAAAAACAGTTCAATTTGAACCTTAGATATGATCAAAATGAGTCCTCTCAAAAAAGAATCTAGACCACTCACTTTGTGAATTTTAAGATCTTAGGCTTTATAAATTCAAAATCATTTTTTTCTTTTTTAACATTGTTCATCTAATGATAATAAAGCCATCTAAAAAATTTGGAAATGAAAAAATCTTTCTAAAGTCTAAATCTGAACATCTCACCAAAATGAATTGGGCTAAAAAAATACTTTATAGGTTGTGTTTTTTATTTTTTTTTCTTTTTTTTTATGAAAAGAGTGTATATTTCAAAATTTAGGTCAAACAAATGGTCATAAGATGGTTTTTTAAGGTTGTTGCATTATATTACTACGCAATAGTTGTATGAAATCATTGCCAATAAATAGATGTTTTTTATAAAAAATAAAAATTATTAAGAAAACATTTGGATTTTTAGTTTCATTTGTTTTTAGATGGACTATCCAATTGCATCAATTGTTAAGATGGACTTTTTATCCTTGGGGACGCAAATGTAGACCCCGACACCTGGAACAATTTTCCTTTCAAATAATCTCAAGGCACCTCAGGATGTGACTATGGGGAAAATTCTAAGCGTGTCAGTACTTTGTTTAGTCTTAAATACAAGGTAAGTTAACGATAAAACTTCCCTATTATCAAACGGGCAGGCTTTTTATGCTTTCCCAACAGCATAAAATTTACATACTTCCTCTTATCCCTATTCTGAATGGAGGGTTAAGATTGTCTCAATCTAATGTCATGTCACTATATTATTTTATTTTTAAATTTTTTTTTTTAAGAACCATTTGGACACCAAATTTTGGACGTCCAATCCTCTATTAAACTTGCACTAGCGAAAAATATAAAAAAATATTTTCAATAAAATGAAATGATCAAAATACTTTTGAAAGTTTCAAGGGGTATTTTGATCATTATATTTTATTAAAAATTTATTTTTAATATTTTTTATAGGTGAGCCTAATGAGAAGATGGCACGTGCCAAATTTGATATTCTTACAATTTGTATAAAACAAACTAAAAATAAAAAACTTTAAGACGTCAAATCTAAGATCAAAAGGTGAATGGTTCGGACAGCTGGATGGTGAAGAAAGCATAGATCTTCTATGTTGGAGGGGAAGTATAGAAACCTTCCCTTATCAAACACGGAAGAAATCAAACACGCCTTAAAAGAGAGAATTTTTCCTCATATATGCAGTCCTGTTAAGATCTTGATCGTGTCTTGCTCTAGCTACAATATGGGTCATTTATCGATCTTCACATGTGTCCACGAGAATTCTCCCATCTCTCATCTTCAACCAAAAGAGCACACTTCCCAGGAGAATACCTGTCTCTCATTTTCAATCCAAAGAGTGCCTCTGCACTCGGCAGCATATGAATAACTCTTCCCTTTCGAATGTTATGAGCGGTGCTTGGGCAAGAGTAGTAGTAGGATGCGTGACCTCCTTGTGCCCTACTCCCTGGTAGGGGCCAGTCATCCTCACTGATTCATCCAAAAAAAAAAAACAAATAATGTTATGAGCGGTATGTAGAGATCCTCATTTTCTATGTTCCAAATACACACAGCCCTACTGAGTCCCCCTTTTCATGTGGATGTCACTTCAAAGAAAACTTCCCTTGTGTTCTATCTTACAAGGATGGAACGCATTTCCATATCTTCCATGGGAACTATTTCTGTGTCTTCAACACATGTTGCTCTGTGTTGCGCTAATGAATTATCTTCCTCATCACATGCTACCCTAGAAGAAGCCTTATCTTCATCATCTAGATGCCTTGAAAGAATCTCCCTTTTTCACTACTGCTTGGTTGCTTCTTGGAGAATCTTAATCTTCTTCTTTCAGGTCGTCCTTGCTTGGAGCACGACAAGGTGTTTCTTATTTTTAATTTTTTTTTATTATTAAAAGTTAGGGATGTATTTTTTTGAAGTTCTAAGATTTTTAAGGT